AGATCAGGGGCGGTACCTCTGGGAATGAGAATCAGCACCTACAAATCTGAGGCCATGGCCTCAGCTGGAAAAGGTTGCCCACTCTGGGTCAGGGACGAGTTCCTGCCCCAATGGATGGATGGATGTATGGATGTTCCTAACACACACATCACACACCACAGCCTTCCTGTGGTCAAGTAGAGCTCTCGCACTGGATTACTATACAGAGCTGCAGTCTTAAGGGACTTTGAAGTAAAGAGGTAAGAGGCTTTTTAGCTGCAGAGTCAAAGATAATGCATGGCAGTACATTTGCATTTTATTAAAGCAACCAAATCACTTTCTAATAACTGCACAGATTAAGCCATAAACTGAAACATTAAAAAATATGACATACTGCACGGGACATTTGGAACATTTTGAAGTTCTAACGAGGCAGTCTGTGTTGCTCTCTATCAGCCTAAGTAAACAAATGTCCAACAGGCTTTGGAATCACTTACAGGTATAAGTGAACAGGGGTCTGAAAGACTTAAAAACCTGAAGCTTGATGGGCTCCATCACGCGCATCACACAGTGCAATCATTAACCTATTAGCTCACAAAGTCCTTCAGACATGTGGATCCATTTTCCAGGCCTTGGCCACATCACCCTCTCATTCTCTGTCCCTCTTGCTTTCTCTTTCCCCCCATACTCTCTACACAGGAACAAGTGAGCACAGCACTTTTTCCCCCTCTTTCCGTCCCCCTCTGAAGTTCCAGCTGCTGTAGACAGACTAATGTGTTCCCCAGAGCTGAGGGGCAGACCACAGCCCCAGGAACAGACTGGGCCCTGCTACCAATAAACTTTAGTTTCACATAGAAAAAGAGAGAGAAAGAAAAGAGAAGAGATTCATTATACAGTCAGGGAGAACTTAACTTTAAACTTTCTCACTCATAAACAATTGTACCATTGTGGAGTTTTATTGATTATTTTTGGCTGCTTCTATACTGCTGACATTGTAAACAATTAGCTTTTATTTAACTGGAAGAACACTATTGGGGCTGGTAAGCAAGGGCAAATGATGACTGATGGAGGGGACGATGGAAGACTTTCAGCAACAAAATAGCTGAAAACTGACCTCTGTAGCTTTAAAAAATTAAAATCCCTCAAATCTTTCTGAACACAAAAAATAGAAAGCTTAAACAAGAGAATATTTGCTTTTTCTTACTTACTCTGAAAATGAATATGATATAGATATAGCCAACATCACTTTTTATTGATTTATTCATAGACAGTGAATAGGCATTGAATGAATTATTCTCTGCCAAATTCAGCTATTAACATCTTCAAAACTAAAAGATCGTGTCATTTTAATGATATGGATTACAGACTGTATATAAAAGATGGATGTCGCTTTTGGATCTGAAAGTCAAACCATTCCTAACGTCCCTTTAAATCTTATTTTTAATAGCCAGCAGTGGATAATCCTCTAGTTACAAAAATGTGTGCTTTCAGAGGAGTCTAGGGGAAAACGATCCTTTGGCTACTTAGTCTGTGACCACAGACTCACCGTTACAGTAAAATGTAGTACAAAGTAGGATGTTCAACAGTATGAGTGGGAAGTCTTTGGTTTCACGGTCAGAACTGCCCCTTTACTCATAACATCCAGTTTGAAAACACTAAGATGCTGATGGTTAAGTTGCTGTGCTGGAGGCTTCACTAACCTTTGGCTACTATCACGATGGCTTATTTGAAGTCTTCCTATTCATACCTCAGATTTTATGTTGACATTACTCTGTCGTCTAAAACTGTGGTAATAAAAGAAGACTATTATGAAGTTGAAATATGTGGTTATTACACTTTAGGTGCTATAATTAAACAACCCGAGGTAATTATTCTGCATGGTTTCAATGTCCCTTTTAATGCAAACCAACTTTGCTTGCCCTCCCGCCCTCACATTATAACAGACTCATCGTCTAATTTTCCATCTAATAACTCTCACTAGTTCCACACGCTAAGTTCTGCACATTAACAGAAATCCGAGTTCCAAATGAAAATCTAAATAATGGTGCCTTTGCAAAGTGACCACAGGTCTTCTGGGGCTTCATCGCTGACACATGGTCTGGATAACTCATTCTGGCTTCATATAAAACAAACACTTCATACTCATAGTGTTGAATGTCTTGAATTACAGCAAACCTACTCAAATTACCTGCTTCTTATTTTGCAGGCAATTTTTAGTAAAGCAGGTTTGTTGTTTATCAAGAAAAAGTCTGATGCATCGAAATGTTTCAAATGCATGTGCAGTGAAAGGTTTCTATGATGATGAAGATTCTTAAACGGCCTATATCTTTATGTTACTACATGTTATAAGTACCAGTCATTCCTGAATCTGCACAGCCACTGACCATGTGCTGCAAACAAACAGGGGAAATCCCCCTCAATAAAGACCAGACTGACTGTCATCAACAGACTGAACAGGTTTTATCATAGAATGAACAAACACAAAGCACATGTCACTGCTCTTTTCTGCACTCCTTGCTCAATTTGTGCACCGAACAAAACCTGAATGCTTCAACCTCTTCAGAGTTAAGGGTGGTTGGGGGGGTCTTTGTAACATACCTCACTCTGCAATCGTGACCAACTTTTCAGCTGTGTCACAGAGCCATGAGAGTGAGCTCCCTAATGCAGCTCTGCTATGATTCGCAGTCAATAGGCCGTGGCTCTCTGCCACACATTCCTTCACATGACTGGCTGTGATTAACATGCAACGTGGATCCCTCTGGTCCAGTAGACAGACAAAAACGCAGACAGATAGGGACATTGAGAGAACTGGAGAGAAAATGCAACAAACATATGTGCTACAAAGCAATGCGTTTTCTTTTAAATATCAACACCGTCCATAGATTTTTACCTGTGAAACGAGCATTGTAGTATCTGTCAGTTGTTTTTGCAGCTTGTTGTGTATGAACACTAACAAGATCTGGACTGACTGCAAGCCAGCTGTGTTTTAAAGACCCATCTGGTTGCACCTGCATGCTCACTTTGCTTCACTTGCACTCTGAGTACTAGGCTAAATTTGGAACACTGTCATTCCAGACTTGAATCGCCAAACCAACAAAATAGTTTTTTAACAGCAGCTTAAAGGGAGAATTACAAAACCGTGAGTTAATATTTTTATTCTGTTGTGCTGGCTGTGACTTTAGAGAGCTTGGTCAAAAATACCTTTGCAGACTTTTTCACTTCAACTAACTCAGGACTCTTTGGATAAATGCTTATTTGTCAAGCCTTAATTTGGCCAAATGAACTCAGTACAGTACTCAGTGAAACCAATTCAGAGACTTGTACATACATGGCAATAGACACACAAAGGTATGTCTGTAATTTTGTAAAAGCTGTTTCCCTTTACAGTCACTGCAGTATGGGACTAGATAAACAGATGTGGTGGGACATTTATGTACAGTCATCAAGGGCATGGAAAACATGCTAATATAATGGTGGAATAATTGTACAGCATTTTAAAAAACAAGAATTGGTTCAGATTTTATCACTACAGTCAAAAGTCAAATATATATGTACATACATGTACTTAAATCATTTAATAAGTGACTCTGAAGGTTCTGAAGGATCTATTAACTTGAAAAGGCCAAGGTCTACTAACTTCTCAGTGATCATGATTCATTGCAGCTGGTAGTTTGTCTTTGTCAGGATAAAAAGGATTTGTTTGACTCAATGATCAATGCTGACCAATACTCAGAACAAAAAAAAAAAAGAAAAAAGAACAATGGGAGAGTCCAACGAATTCAGCAAAGATGTAAGAAGACGAATTGTAGCTTTACACAAGTTATGAAGGTGTCTTGGAGCCATTTCTAAAATACTGGATATTCAAAGATCATCAGTTCAAACAAATGTATAAGTTAATCAGAATTGTGACAACTTTGCCAAAGTCTGCAAGAAGAGCCAAAGTGTCACCCTCAGATGAGAGAAAATTGGTTAAAATGCTTAAAAACAACCCAGGAAATACCAAGAAAACAAGCCTGCCATGAACTGGAAACTACTGCAACACCAGCTTTACTGTACATAGAAAAGAAAGTTTTACACCACCATGGACCAATAGGGGGCTGACCAGGAAAGAAGGCCCTGCAACAACAGTAAGCATGACTAAAATTTGCAGCTGCCAACATGCACTAACCACATGTCTTCTAGAGAAACGTTTTACAGTCAGACGAGACAAAGACTGATATTTGGCCACAGCAGCAAGAGAACAAGAGGTGAAACTTGCTAAGGGAAATTAACCACATATTAATAAGGGTGTTTGTATATAGTTGAGCCTGTATAATTCTGACCCTGTGTGGATGACATAAAATCCCAAATAAATTCAAACTTGTGCACCAAATTTAAAGTCATTAAACATGTACATGTACAGTCCTTGCACCCTGCAAAACAGATAGTTCAATGAAATCATTAAAAACTTACCATGAAATTTTAGAAAATACTTCTATAGCTGAAAATTAGATATTGTTAGAAGTTCAATAACACCCTCATGTCTGCATGCTAGCTAAGAATAAAAGCCAAAAGGCAATTAGCTTAGATGCGCATAAAGACTGTCAGAGAAATACTGAAAGCATACATTTGTCTCGTTTGTTTAATCAGTACATAAATAGAAATGTCAAATAACTATAAACAAGTAGTTAAATGCTCATATTATTTCTTGGCGAACAGAAGCCAAGTGCATGCCTGCTTTGAGTCTCTACTGCCAAGTCTTTACACTGAAAACAAAGCTAATCAGCACATCTGGCTCTTGCTTAATGTTTAATGTAGACAGATGTATGGTCTTATTGATCTTCTTATCTCACTCTTGGCAGGAAAGTGAATGAGGACTATTTCCAGTATTTAAAACTATTCCTTTTATGGTGTGCTTGCTTAGATACGAAGCAAGAAAAACAAAAGCGAACAAAAAATTAATGGTGTTCACTGAGAACACCTCTAACTACCACATCTTCTATATTTTGCAAGGTTTCTAGAAGTCTGACACTTTAACTAACCGGTGCATCGATCTTAATGAGGGCGATGTCTGATTTCTCATCCACGTCTTTGATTTTGGCATCATAGGAGGCGCCGCTCTTTAGCTCCACTTTCACTCTGTGTTTATTGGCCACCACGTGGGCATTGGTCACAATTTGGCCATCTTCAGACACAACAAAACCAGAACCACTGGCCACTGCCACTTCACGCTTGGAATAAGTCATCCTGTGGAGGGAAGAAAGGGAGACATTAGGAAAGAGTAGGAAAAGGTTAGACTACTGGTATTCTTTCCTCTCCCCTTTAACAGTTTTTCCAGAATAGTAAAATAAAGCAGTACATGGTGTAATAGAAGTGTTAAATGCAAACCAAAAGTATGTATACTATATATATATATAAACAGTAAGAAGGTGAGTATATAAAGCTAAGCTGGAGAGATGAATAAAACAAGAGACAGATCTAAGTGAAACAACGACGGATGAAGGAGAGACAGAAATCTGAAAATCAGAGGGTTTTGACCTTCAAAAAAACCACTTCACAAGTGATGGTGACAGACAGAAGAGAGATGAGACAGATGAAGAATCAAAGTGTCAAAGAACAAGAAGCAGAGATTAAAAAGCACAAAAATCTGGTCGGATGATTTTTAAAAAGAAGATGAAAGACTAAACTTGAGAATAAGGTGCTCTACCAACTGGTGCAGTGTGTTTAAGTACACAGGTAGGTTGTAAATTCTAGGGTTTTTCGGTCTGCCCCTCCCCAGCACCGAGCACAGACACACAGGTACGCGGCTCATACTTGCGGTAAAGTTCAATGTGAACCACAGACGGAGCAATTTTCTCCACCACGTCGGCAATGAAGTTGTATTTGTGCCTCGGGCTGTCTGGATTGTCTTGAGCTGGAAATACATCATGCACACACAAATAGGATGTCAGCCTGGTAAAAACAAACAAAAGATGCATGGAAATACTGCATGATGTAAGAGCTGTGTGAGGATAGAGAACCAACACATTAAACTACCCTTCATCATAACACATCTGGGAAAAGAACAGATGACAGTTCATCTGCGGTTGAGACTGTCTAGGTCTAGGTCTGACACACATGTACTCACTCATTTACAGAGTCTGGTAATAAACCTTACAAATAAACACTTCGCACTGACATTTACCCTTATCTTACCCCATGGTTAAGGGTGAAAACAGAGCAGTTCTAAAACCATCCGCAGCTCTTTTGTCAAGTATAACACACAGACAGTGTGACACTGTATGTTAAGGGACTGCCAAATTCACTGAATCACCCATCCAGCTTTGGTAAGTCAGGAAATGCTGACTGACTTACCTGCTCATTAAATCCTACTCAAATGACAGTTTAAGCAAGGCTATGAATCAAGACGTCCCCAACCTTTCCCTCTTTGCTTTTCATCCTTCCATCCATAAGCTGTTATTTTGCCACGTACTTTGAACTATTTTGTCTCACAAGAACAATTTTCAGTCATTACTTTCTCCTAGATGACAGAAATTGCAAAAGTATAATCCCCTGGATATCAGTGATTGCACTGAAGGGTAAAGGAACAACAAAGAGACACGTGAGTTGCAGTTAAGCTAACACCAGCATTTAATGAGCATCATGCTGCTGTATGGAACACCATTAAAAAGTACAGTCCACAAACATTTGACAAACTGCAGGAAGTAAATTCTTCTGCATGTGGTTGAAGTTTTGGTGGTCGCAGTGAAGCACCAAAATTTGTTTAGCGGGAGTTTGTTAGCTGTGAAAGTGTTCTGTTAGCTAGCAACCGTCATTATAAACTGAAGATAAAAGATGGATACAGATCAGTTCTGTATCTGAAAAGCAACGCCAATTCAGAAGTGACTTAAACCAGATCTCTTTCTAGTGGACTGTTGCAGTGGGCCACACTGAAAAGTTAATGAAGACATAAAATTAACAATGAGCAGAACTGAGTTTAACTTATCGGAGAGGCCCTTCACTACAGCTCACTACAGTTTCTCATGAGGCCCCTTGGAAAAACTAATTACCAACCCCTGCTGGAAGAAGTCATAAGGAAAATTACTTGGATTAACACTTTCCTGATGAGTATGTGGTTTCCATGTTGGACCCACCCCTTCCAGCACTTCCAGTTCTAAAAGCTAAAATGCTCAGACACTTCACAATGGTAGCTCAGGAAAAAGTGGGCCTTGGTTATAAACTGTTGTGTTTTTAACTGAATCATAAACACAGAAAGATGCATGCATGCACACCTGCGACAAGAAGCTCACAGTAGTAGTGATTCTGGTAATATTGTCCTCCCACTTTCCCTCAGCTGAGCTGTAATGTAATTCAAATTCCTTTACACTGGATGTAGACAGAAAACAGTTCTACACCTACTTGCAGTAAGGTTTATGGATTTTTTGCTCATGTTATTAAATATTAACAACGGCAGTAAGGTCATGCTTTTTGGAAAGAGACACTGTTGTTGAGTTAAGCACAAGGAATATCATTTATTTCTAATAAATTAAAGTGAGGCGCCAATATGTCCAAAACTGGACACCAAAACAGTCTAGATGAATGAACAGTGCTACAGTCCGGAGGAAAACATATAAAGTACATTTTGGGGTGAAAATTCCTTCAAGATAAACCCTTTGAGCATCATGAATGTTTTCCAAATCAATAATTTTACTAGAAATTTTTTGAGTTGTGGAGTTTTTCACCTCACGGATGTATGTACTGAAATCCATTTCAGTCCTGCTAATAATTGTCAAGCTATTTCTCTAAAAAAATTCAGATGCCCACCTCATAATGTAATGAAAGGACAAACGAGGGGCTCACCAAAGTTAGCAGGTTTCTGGGCATCTGACGATTAAGATTGCCTGTGCAGAATTTTACTATAATCCATTAAATACTTGATGATTATTTCTGGGTATACGGTGTACCAAATGCTATTCTTAGAGCTAAAAGCCACTGAAAGAAACAAGGAAACCAAGTTGCTCATAAATAAATGTAACCCCTTTTTTTCCCCAACCCCGACATATATTTTCCTGAACTTTAAATCAAGTATTAAACATTATAAAGGCCAAACAACCTTCTTGCAATAGTATGAAGAAAAGATGGAAATTTTGGAGTAATTTCCTCCCTGCTAGCTTCAAACCCGGGGGGTTTCGTGGTCAGCTCTGATAGGATTACTGTGAGAGAAAGCAGGGCCCGGGGTCCAGAATCTGTGTTGTTTCTGGAGTGCACAAACAGGCTCCCAGTCTCTTCCACTTCACCATGTTATAATGAGTGAGGCCTCCTTGCACACATGCGGAAACCAGGAACACTCTGCTGCCACTACAATGCCAGTGTGATGATAGCAAACTTATAGGCCTAGTGGTGGTGATTTGGTAGAGACAGGATGTCATGAATCAGCCATTTTCTCCTGAGTTATATAGTGAGATAGATCATTTCATTGCTCAACTGAGCTTACAGCTGAAGCTTAGAAAGACTTTACTGTTGGAAAATTAAGTTGACTTATGAGCGAAACTGAAAAGAAGTGTCTAGATGCCAAAACGTGACTGATTCATCTTGATATGTGGAGAGAAAGTGGGATTTAAAGGCTTCTGATCACTGTCTCATCTAAGTATTGCTCACGAAAAACCTCTCCATCTGCTGAACTGCTGCTATAGTAAGATGGGATCTGTGATTGCAAGGTAATTTTCTAAACAGCTTATGTGTGTGTGACATTTATACATTTAATTAGAGTCATTATAAGGAAAGAAAAGAGGACATGCTTTTGATGGTGTGAAAAGTGGTGCGTTCAACTTCTTTTGAAAATGGGCTTGTTTAGGGTGTCACAGAGTACATTATAATAGACTCAGAAACTGCATGCAGTTTCAAAATAACTGCATGCAAATTTAATGGGCATAATTTGCCCGCAGGAGCTATTTGGAGATTACCTAAAGGCAATCATTTAGAAGCTAATGTAAAAGTAAGCTGTAGGTCACTAATAAACAAGGCAAATGGCTTTTTAGTTCAAAAAGCAGATTGAACTAGAAATCCAAGTAACATAGCGTTTTTCTCATAGGCGACAAAACCAACATAAACACATATAATAGGCATATAATAACAGAATGACCAATAATAGACTGAAAAGCATTTTTCATGCAGATTGATCATATAGAGATATATACTCACTTGCCACTTTATTAGGTATACCTGTTTAAGTACTTGTTAATGCAAATATCTAACCAGTCGGTCACATATCACGTGCACATGGTGACACTAGCTGAAAGTAATTCAACTTGAATATAAAAATGGGGGGACTTTGTATGTGGCATAGTCATTGTCATCAAATGGAGTGGTCTGTTTATTTCAGAAACTGCAGAATCTGCTGGGAAAAAAGAAAAAGAAAAGATCCAGTTCTCTGGATGAAAACATCTTGTTGATGGCAAAGCACAGAGAATGGCCGGACTACTTTGAGCTGATAGGTAAGTCAACAATAACTCAAATAGCCACTTACTACAAACTGAGTATGCAGAAGAGCATCTCTGAATGCACAGCACATTGAACCTTGATGTAGCAGATGGACTAGAGCAACAGAAGACCACACCGGGTGCCACTCCTGTCAGCTAAGAACAGGAAACTTGAGTCTACGGTTCAAATCGGGTCTTCAAAATTGGACACTGAAAATTGGAAAAATGTTTCCTTATCCGATGACATGTGATTTCAACATGTGGATGGTAGGGTCAGAATTTGGTGTAAATACCATGAAATCATGGATCTACCCTGCTTTCTATCAGTAGTTCAGGCTGATGATGTAATGGTGTGGGGGATATTTTCTAGACACACTTTGGCCCCCTTCATACCAAGGGGGCATTGTTTAATTGCCACACACTATTTGAGCATTACTGCTGACTATGTCCAGCCCTTTATGCCCACAGTGTACCCATTTTTGTTCCGGGCGCTTCCGGCGGGATAATATGCCATGTCACAAAGCTCAAATCACTTCAAAGTGACTTCTTGAACATGACAATGAGTTCACTGTACTCAAATGGCCTCCACAGTCACTAGATCTCAGTCCAATAGAGCACCTTCGCAATGTGATGCAACATTATTGATGTGCAGCCTACAAATATGCAGCAACTATGTGATGCCATAAACCGAGGAATGTTTACAGCACCTTGTTGAGTCTGTGCCACAAAGAGTTTAGGCAGTTCTGAAAGAAAAATGAGGCCTAAACTTGTACTAACAAGTGTAATAAAGTGGCTGGTGAGTATATCTGTGTGCACCAAAGATGCATAAACAACTTTATAGAAAGTAAACTGGAAGTGGAGTATTTCACACTTGGTAAATTAAGAAGCGATATATTTGGTGTAACAGCAAGTACACACTCTTGTTACTCCGACTCACCCTGTCAGACACTTAGTCTAATTGCTTCGGTTTATAGGAAAGCATTAGCAGAAATAACTACTGACTATAAAAGTAGTATGATAATATGATAAACAGTAATACTGTAAATGTTAATGATTAGCAGCACACCACAAAATATCACTTGAGTTTCAGGGCAATGGCAGACTGAGACTTATGAACAGTCTTGTCAATATCACAGACATTACGCTGCTATTCAGCAGATATTTTGGAGATGGCACTTAAGGTAAAAGTAGGGATGGGTCAAGTGAGTTGCATGTAATATAGAGTGGATGTGGTGTTTAGATTTTTAAGCAGTCCAAAAACAAAATTGTTCTTATGTGGGAGGGTGGCATTCCTACTAAGCAGTAACTTATCCTGACAGAGAAGTGTATACACACTCTCACCACACAATTTAAATGATATACTGACATAAAAACAGTAATAAACCTGCTTTAAGTTTCTGTGACCTGATGAAGTTAAGATTTCACCCATATGCAAGACATATTGAGAAGTGTGGTAACTGCTAATGAAAGCCTCATAATATTTAAGTATCTATTAACAATAATCAGATGTCGGAAAGAGTTTTTTGGAGTCAGTTCAAGCATTATGTGGGGAAAACCATTCAAAAACAACATTTATTAAAAGGAACCTAATTTAAAAGTACTCTCCCCTCCCAACATACACACTCAAAGCCCGCCCTAACCTCACAATCCCATACATCCATTACCCCTCCCCACTCAACACACGAGCTACAGGTCAGGGTGTCTTTTCTTCTTCAGCTTTCCCATGCATAGGACCCTTCGTTTTATTGGTTCCTGCAGACTAAAAGACGATTTGTGTTCTCCCAAGAAAAAACCTTAAGAAATGAAAAAACATAGATGTGAACAAAGTGGATTCAGTCCAGCTGGAATTAAGCTAATGCACTAGCAAATCTTTCAGATATGTTAAGAAGGAGGAGCAAAGGAAAGGATCGTTATCAGCATGGACATCCGGTCGGAATGCAAAGAACACAGCCATCAGTTATTCTCTGGAATTTTAGGTTTGTTTTCCTTTAGATCAAAGGTAATTTAACTAACCAAAGGGGAAACTCATATAAGCTCTGAAAGAGCCAAAATAAGTTTAGAGTAAATCATTAACTTAAAGATAGAAATGTTTAATAAATTAACTCTTTTCACTCCACATTAGCATGAGAATAGTGAGGGGTGTGCCAGGTGGAATAGAGGATTAAAGGAACCAGTCAGTGAAAAGAAAGTAAGGTCAGCAAGTAAAGCTACGTCAAATGGGTTGTTGTCAAAGGACAGTACTGATTGTTTAAAAAAAGCCAATAAAATGTAAATAGTATGGCCCCTCTTTGGCCTTAAAAAGTATGGCAAGTATGCGCCTTAGTGCATATGTTATTATAAAATTACTTCCAGTAGGTCATTGATTTTGGCTCGCTGTACTTCTTCAATGATTCAGAACATATGAGCTTGCTACAGTATTAAGACCATGAATCATTTTGTTTCGATGGGGCTTTTTTCCCCAGTTATGAAAGCATACAGTTGAGCTTTGCCGCTGTTTATAATACTACAATGACACACTGGCAGCTGTTTCAAATGACTCACTGAGTGATTATAATTAACCCAATTTTTCCATTCCCAATATTGATTCAATTTACCCTATTTTAATCCAGTGAACTTAATTTTTTCCATTGTGAACTCCATCTAAGGTTGAAAGCACATAATACAACCAGAAACACTCACACTGAGTTAGTAACAGGGCAGTTAGAGCAGCATGGAGAACCCATTCAAAACCATGTCCCATTTTATTGTTAGAAAATGATGTATGTCGATCAGTACAGCAGCTGCAAGAGCAGGCTTTAACCCTTTAAAAGATATTAAACCAATGCAATATTCAGTACAGTGTTTAATAACACTTATCGTGGCCCATAGACAAGAATGGAGGTACAGCAATTTGGTGTGGTGCAAAAGCATTACATTTCTCTAGTTAGTGCAATTTAGGAAATTCGAACATACACAAATGTGCTTATGTTGCGGTCAGTATTAGATGACATTAAAAAGAGGCTGAGCACGGAAGAGGCTGCAGCAAATATAGTTTAGCAGAGAGAGGAATGAAGGAAGCAGGAGAATTACAGACATCAAACAGGAAAAAGAACAGATGAGAAAAGCAGACAGGCAGACATTCAGAACCAAAAGCAGACACTGACAAGTAGAACAACAAAAACAAGTCACGTGCATGTGCCCAAAAATGATGTTTTAACATCATGAGTGGCTGAAACAAGTTGCTGAAGAATGTGCGTATTCAGCAGATGTCACTCGCTGGAGTCACAGAGTACATTCTGTCTGCAACATCAGCTCTGATTTAAAGAGCAGCGCAAACTGTGTCGGGTTTTCAACTGGATTAAAGTCTAAACAGATTATAAGAAAGTCAGCCTCATCTTCACGTTCACACCTTCATGCAACCCCTCCATAGTTCTGGTTCACAGTTTGAGAGGCACCAAGCGATTCAGTTCTGATCTCCAATACTCTTCAGCAATTTTCCTGTCAGTCTGTGTCACATTAGTGCTTTTAAACTGCCAAAAAGTTTTTTTCTGCACTTTTTAAAAAAAAAAAATAGATAATTTTTAACAACTATGACACCAAGGTCACAGTCAAATTTTGGCCTAGTTTTTTCTTTCTTTTTTCCCCAAAATGAGCTACGCCTTTACTGTCCAGACACGAAATGACATCATGCAACTGCGCTCACATGTTTTTTCTTAACATGAGGCCAGGTTGCGGTGTATTTCAAGGCACTCAGAGGGGTTTAAGTTTCTTTTCAGTGTCAGCTCTTGACATTCTGAGTCAACAGACCTGTTCACAATTTATGTTAAAGTTGACATTTCTTTTTAAAATATGTGCTTCTGCTACAGTCTTAGTCAGCACCAGCCTGGACAGGGACAAATCTAATGCACGAAATAAAATGCAACTTCCAGCTATGGAAATTCTCACAGGGTGTCTTGGAAAATCAATAGCACTCACCACAGTCTTGCTCAGTTTCAGAAATGGTTAGCTGCTCGGGAATGACTTAACCATTTAAGCTGCTTACATGACTGACAAACAAACGTGGCGATGCAGTCTGCCCTTCCACTGTGCCCACATGGTTTTTGATGTACATGTACAACTTTCCCGAAAATATGGGTTGCTAATTTTGTGTTTTCCTCAATGTCTCCTGCCTGTTTTAAACAGTCTTCAACAGAGGTGGAATTTTGGCTTTGAATCAGTGCCAGGAATTCCTTCATGTGACTGTTAAGTGTGATTTATGAGTGACAACACAGACCAGGAGTGAAAGACACTTCCACAGTCAAAAAGAGAAGAGAGGAAGAAGCTGGGGTGGTGGTGGGGGGCTGTGGCAGGGTGGATTCAGTAAGGTTCCAAGCCTTGAGGTAAGTTATAGATCTTTGATGCAACAGGTGTTGAATGTTGTCCTTTGTGTGTTTTTAAGTGCACATATGTTGCCAAATCTGAGGGGGGGAAAGTACGTACACAGTAACAGTAAAAACCGTAAAGGACATAATGTTTTTACCACCTGCAGCATCACTAGTGATCGTTTTTTCATTCCTGGATGTTTTATGTCATGCATAAATTGTAAACAATTACACTAGTAATGATGATATATGACTCATTGATTCATTTTGTACAGAATGTGCATTCTCATTTGGACTGTGCTGTTTCACAGAGCAGCAGATGCAAAGAGTGAAGTCTCATTATAAGTGATCTTCACTGATTAGCACAAAATACCTGTCACATGACACTATGACAAAATGCAGGTCCATACTGAAACACTTCCATTTATCATTATAAATATATTTCCAGTTATATTTAATAACAGTTTATATCATACATATCAGGTTTTGACATTCCATTCTATTCAGCTAATGCACATATTTCAGGCAAAGACCACATGGCATAAAGGAATCAACCAGATTATAGTCATGTGATTGCTGGTCATGCATGCCAGAGTAATCCTAAAGTTCACATCAAGCTTTACAACAGGGCATAACTCGTGGCTTCATTCAGCCATGGGGGGAAAAAAGAAAACAAAACAAAAGAAAAGCCCTCTCTGATCAAGTCTAATTGTAATGCAGGATCAAGGGCTGCACTTGAATGGCTGCTCTTGTGGTTCCAGACACATGGGGATTGTGTGCCACTGAATGCAGCGCTGAGCTACAACATCTGTGCGACCTTGAGACAATAAATGCCCAGTGAGGAATGATGGGATCACGTTCAACAACAAGTTGTAAATAATTAAGGTAAAACGGCCAAAAAATGACACCATGTTACAGAAAATGTGCAACGATTGATTTCAGCTGCAAAACTAATGTTTTTGGCTCACAACGCTCAAAAGAGAGTAGCCTATTCATGATTCTTGACACTATACTGTAATCAATTAACTTTAAACGTCGAATCTACTCCCTCCTATTTATTATCAATATCTCAGTGTGTTTTGGGTTAAGGGTGTCTTGATCAAAACAGTGTGAGTTCTACCTTTCCCGCAGGCTCCCCGCTGAATGAAAAGAACAGGTGGCTGTTGCAATTTCTGCGCCCGTCGACTGACCCTCTTCAGCTCGCAGATATTCCGGTAGGACACCCCATCGCTTCCACAAACCGCTTCGGTGGTTTTGCACACGCAAATCCCACTCTTGCTTCTCCTCCTCACCGTCACAGTGTATGCAATCCCGCCGGAGACCGAGCACTCCAGCTCCTCTCCGCACACTGGGTCGCCGAGCTTCCCACTGCCGCCGCAGGCTTCGCCTTCACTGGAGGCGCACACCGGGCAGCAGTGGCAGGCGTCGAGGGTTTGTCCTGTCGGACAGTCCGCTGGTAGCCGAGGACACATCGACTTATCACACCGGGAAGGACATCCGACAACATAACGGCTGGAGATTTGCGCATCCGCCGGCACGGCTGCAAAGGCTACGATTGCGCATAACAGCAACCAAAACATGTTTCAGACTGAAAAAGAAGCTCCCCTAAAAATTCACCAGAAACGTTTAAAGAGTTCCAAAAGGTCGCTTTGTGCTAGCAGTGTTATGGGATGACAGAGCTCAGTGCTGAGGGGGGAGTCATCCCAGCTGGAGAGGCATTTAACAGAAACTCCACTGCGTAACCAATTACGCGATTTTACGTTTTTGCTGGCACGGCATCAAACATGCAACTCACTTTCTAGATAATAACAACAAGCAGGGTGGTTGGTGGCTTTATGTGACGTACTGAATCGGAAGAGTTAAATTACGGACATGTCTCCAAAAGCGTGAAGATAAATAATCAGAGGAAAGAGCAGAAAATTGCCATGACTGGTGGGAGGAAGTGATTTTAAATATATTAGTTTTATTTCAGCCTATTACAAAACTTTAAATATCAAGGTCAACTTGAAAACAAGCAAGAATATTGAGAATATCGAGACTATTTTAGTCCAGCAGTGTTTCCTGTCGATGACTGATGAAATGAATAATAGCAGAATAAGGATGCATGTAGCCCAGATGTTTTACGCTATACAGCCTTCCACACATCCAGCGTCACTATTTCCTTATACTGTAGTTATTTATTTTCCTGTTCTAATGCTTCCTTGTGAGTCACTCCTGGCACCCGCACAAGCCTCATGGCTAATTAAAAAAAATCAGTGGTGGAACAATAATTGCGTGGATTGTGGGTTTTATGCGTTCATGTACACTTAATAAAAAGCCAACTTTGCTCCAGTTGGAAGACTGCATGAGGACATAACTTATCTAGGCCTGTTTATCATGATGCAGGGTTAAGCACCCAGCAAGTAGGGGCATAACAAGTCTAGTACAGGTATCCAAATAAAGAATGCACTCAATTCAAGAGCAATCAACATCGTTTTGTACAACTAATCACTCAAAATATTTGTAAACATCAACTCTTGACACATTTCCAGCATCAGAGTAGCACATTTTAATTTTGGCAAACAGCAAACCGTTGTTAGATTAAGATGTCTGTGGTGAGCTGTAAGAGTCCAGTAAACTCTGTAAATCAGCCTCATAAAATACCCAACACAGTTTGATAGACTGTGTTAAGACAGGCTTGTTTTTTTCTCTTTTTTATGTGCCTCTTGGTTTAAATGTGGTCGACAAATACAGCAGAATATTTGTCCATGCCCCTGCTTGGGACCCTGTGGTGTGCTGGGGCTCAGGAAACCCAAATCTCTTGTATCTTTGGGGCAATTAGAAGGGGGGCATAACGGAAACAGACTGGACTCTTGTATAGCACAGGAAACAGAGTCTACAATGTAGACTGTAACCCAGAGCTGATGTTAAGAGTTAAATGACAGGGTTCATTCATTTTTTTCGCAGAAAACACAAAAACAAAAAAAAACAGAGCTGAAGCTGAACGCTCTTTAATTTCAGTCCAAGACAACACACATTGTTGGCTGATGCAAAAACGGCCAAAACCCACGCAACATCATCAGCTCCGTTATGTGGCACTACGTAGGCGAGAAACGGTGGGAAAACTTGCAGATGAAAGCAACCTCATTTATAAGGAACACCCATCCTCCAGCCGAGGACAGTGAACGTAGCCAATGATGGACGCCACTGAGGTCTGTGTGATCTCGCCTCCCAAGTTTGTCCAGGCTGTGAGTGAGGCCATTGAAGGACCAAAATGGAGCTGTACTTCCACATCTGAAGCCACACCAAAGTCTGGCATCCTCCAATGAGCATAGGAGTTATGGTATATATGGAATATCAAAGAGCTGTACATCCAAGCTCATACTTAAACACACCAGCTAATTATAAATGATTTTGCTTCTTCCAATGACACCATCCACATGTACCGTAAAATGTCCACACATGCAGCATTCACAATTAACTGCACACATAGAGACGAAGCCCCTGAATATGCCATAACTCATTATCCAGCTGATTAAAGAGGCTTTAAATATTCAGTCCACACGTACCATATCAAGCTCAAGGCTGAATATGTAAGGCGCACCTCATTAATAAGAGATGACAAACGATGCTCATACATGCGCTTTATCATCGATGTTGGAGTGGAAATACTTGCTCCATGTACACCGACTGTTCTACATTGCCAAGTTGGCTTACTTGTACAGTTTCCATTCATACTTTTGGTCCTCAATGAAGATGATTGCCTCTTTTTACTCAGCTGTAGTGTAGATTAGGTTTTATCATCAAGCCGTGAGGAAGAATTTAAATATCACGCACAATTTCAAATTCAACTTTAACTAGCAAATAGGAAAGGCCCACCTTAGTCAGATATAACGGCAAACACATTTTATAGAATTATAACAAAATAAAGTTGAATTATGTTTGCAAAAGTTCTGATACTTTGTGTATTTATATTTTATTATATAAATTGTTAATGCAGGGCTTTTATATGGAGTTGATGGCTTTTATTCAAGGATCCAAAAATGGTCAGTTTCTTATTTATTGTAATTATTTTGATGGCTTGTTCTGGTTGAGGCTAATATTTCTGTAAACATGGAATTAGGGGAAGCTCACAGACACACCCTCTTTTGTTAATGTGGCTTTTTGCATGCTTCTTACATGATTCTTGTTATGATTCTTGGCTGGGTCTGTGCTGAAACATCTGTTTCATGCTTCTCGTGTGTGGTGTTTTGCACTCCATCAACTGAAACCTTTGCAGTCATCCGTGATGAAAACATAACTGGTGGTTTATAGAGCACAGGAATGTTTTCAATGACAAAGTGAAGATTTTTCTCTTGCCACAAGAGGGCAGAGGAAACTCTCTGCAATCACATCAAAGACTCAAATCAAACTGTGGATGCTGCCAAAAGTTTCTCTCTTTGCAGACTTTGTAAACCTCTTATATTCCACCAGACTCATCATGCTCTCCTGGATAAAGATAAGCACAATACTGAAACATGAGCACATTTTCAGTGTTTATTTCTTTCAAGTCATCCACATAATAAATAGAGACAATTCAAACCAATTACACTAGACTGAAAAGAGGGTGAAATAGCTTGGCTTTGCTAGGCTCTAATGCGGCAGGCACTTAAAAAAGATTAGTGTGTATTATTTAGAAGGATTACAGTGGGACTTTTTTTTTTTTTTTTTAAATAACACCATGAGGCAGCTTCCTGCTACTAGGCTGTCAACACAAAAGTGAACAGGAACAGGACATGCCTAAAAGCATATAAAAAATAAATCTGTTTCTAGTCTGCAAACACACAACAACCAAAACATCTGTAGATTAGAAAAAAATAATACAATTTTATGTATTATTAAAACCTTAGCATGCAACATAAGTGGCTGAGCTTGAATACTTTTTCTGTTAAACTATGAATTAAAACGTATGCACTTGATCAATTCAGTATTATCTTCAAACTAGTAAACACAGGTTTAAGCAAATATGTCTTTCAGGACCGAGCTAAAGCTCACTCTGCCATATTGTTGTTGCTTTTCTTTTTAAATCAATATTAATTACAAAATGCATAGAAGCATAGTCCTCATCGTCTTCTTGTTCACTTGCTACTTTAAGCCGTCATCAAGACTCCAATAATACAGAGAAATATGATTCACCAGAAGGAGTGACTTGGGTTGTGACATGGTGCACACGCTGTGAAAGCTTTCAGTTTTTCTTTTTTCATCTGCACGGCACTTTGACTTTACTACCACAAGTGGATTATTGGTTAAAACTATTTACTGTCGTAGTAGTAGTAGTACACAGAAGACTACTTTATTTTGTCAGTAACATCAACTCAATCAACCAAAACGTTGTTGAGGAAACAGTTGCAAAAAGAACAGACCTTAACCCTCCCCGTATATTTAAAAACAGATTCAAGTCAGTGGCTTGGCCACTGTAAAAAAAGAAAAGAAAAAAAGACTAAATACATTTCACCTTGCATAATTACACACATCGGATTGTACATAACTATTTCCATTTTTTATATATATATATATTTTTTTAAGTCTAGCCCAGTCCAGAATTGTCGACTTTTAATTTGCATTAAAGTGAGGATTTGATCTCTGACTTGGCCTGCTCCAAAAAATAAACACTGGCGATAGTACACAAATCCAGTGTTACAATAATGAGTATGAATGGATCACACAGTTTAGTACAAGTAGATCTGAGGGGTGACAAAATGCCAGTCCTCACTTTGAACACTCTTTTCAGATGTGAGGAATTAGCTAGCACCCTTAAAAGCTCCCTTATTTTCTTGGCACAAAGTGGTTTGCAAAATTCCTCAACACTTAAATGCTTTTAACACCTCTTTATGCCTGTACAGATTAAAATAAAGTTGTTATTGAGTACTAATTGACACAAGTTAAGTAGAAGGTGTAAATTAACTCTTGGTAAATAATAACATCATTTGAACTATGACAGCAAG